AAAAGACTTAACTACGTTTCGTTGACAATCAGCCATGCACAAAGAGGTCGAAAGAGCCCCCAGAAGCTTAGGGGTTTTGGGCATTAAATTTCCATCAGATTAGCATCCAGTGGACCGCCTTAGGGCCCTAGATAGGGTCCAGGGGGGGGGGGGGGCAAAGCCACCGGATGTTCAGGGGTCTTGTTATGCCGACATGTTTTGATCGAGTTATGAAATAAAATTATTTGAATTTAATTGAATTGAATGACAATACCCATTGGAAGACTCGAATCATATCACTTCCCCAAAACGACAGAACATAACTTTAGAGTCGATTTGATATTCGCAGAGAAATTTATTTTTAATTTTTAAAGATAACCAGATAGAATGATTAAAAAAAAAAATATTGGCTGCCATCAAAGCTGAATCACGAGACACACTGAGCTTAAATGTGCTAAATATTACTTTGATATGTATACAAAAATCATACTTTCCGTGCGCGTCTCAAATGTCAGACGGACAATCTGTGCGGAAGAGGTCTCGCACCAATAGTCCGCCTGCCGCACCGAATGTCCGTACTCTAGTCCACACGTATACATATTCAATACAAGTATAATTATACTTAATGAATGAAACGACTGGATAACCCATATTCAGCTTTGCCAGCTAGCTAGGGATGACACTACAGGTCTTCCCGGCGCGGATCCAGGGGGTGGGGGGGGGGGGGAGAGGGCCTTGACCCCCAACCGCCAACAAAAAATGAAGAGAGAGAGAGAGAGAAGGTAAAGCGGAGAGTAAGGGAAAGGAAGAAGAGGAAGAAGAAAAGAAAAGGGGAAAAGAAGGTGATCGGGGGGCGAAAGGCCTTTGCCTCCCAGGCTGTTCCCCCCCCCCCCCCCAGCAAAAAGAAAAAGAGAAGGAAGAGAAGGTAAAGAAAAAAGGGAAAAGAGGAGATAAAAGGAACGAAAGAAAAAAGAGGGATATCAGTTGCAGTTTTCCCGCGAACAAGTTGGGGATCGGGGGGGCGGCAAATGGCTCTTGCCTCCCCCCTTCTACAGCAAACTTCAAAGAGAGAGAAAGGAAAAGAAGGGAAAGGGAAAGAAGAGAGAAGAGGAAAGGAAGAAGAAAGGAAAAAGGGGAAAAGAAGGAGATCGGTGGGGGGGGGGGTCGAAAGGGCCTTGCCACCCATGCTGTTGCCTCCCCCCGCAAAACAAGAGAGAAGGAAGGAAAGGGAAAGAACCAAAAGAAGAAAAGAAAAGAAGGGATATCAGTTGCAATTTTCATGCACACAAGATGTGGATCGCGGAGAAAGGCCCTTGCCTCTGCCCCCCCCCCCCCCCCCCGACCACCCCCCCCCCCCCCTCCCCGCCAAAAAAAAAAGAGAGAAAGAAGGGAAAGGGAAAGAGGAGAGCTAAAATGGAACACAAAAGAGGAAGAAGTAAAGAAAAGGGTAAAAAGAAGCAGAGATCAGTTGCAATTAATCCCACCAACATCATATGGATCGGGGGAGGGGGCGAAAGGCCCCTGCCTCCCTCATTAAAGTTAAATGAGAGAGAGAGAGAGAGAGAGAGAGAAGTAAGGGAAGGGAAAGGGGAAAAAAGAGGAAGAAGAAAGGTAGGGGAGATCAGTTGCAATTTTTCCCGATGTGTACCCCTCCCCCCCCCCCCCCCCCCCCCAGCAAAGAGAGAGAGAAAAAGAAAGGGAAAGAGGAGAGAAAGGGACAGAAAACAAAGAGGAAGAAAAGAAAAGGGGGAAAAGAATTAGGGAAGATCAGTTGCGATTTTCATTGGTTCTTCTATCATCATTGTACAACTATCGTACAAATCGTATTGTACAAATGTATTTATATATTCATTTATTTATTCCTGTTTGATAACAAAAATATGAATATAAACTCATAACAGCAACAAAATTAAATGCAGAAGGAAACTATCACAAAAATGATCATGCGAAGGCTAAATTGTTATGCGCAAATGGTCATTTTCGTCGACGACATAAATATACAAATTATTTCGTCAACTTAGTTAGCATCATAGCTATATATTTAAACGCAGGTGCGTAGCTAGGATCTTATTTTAGGGAGGGGCGGTATTGAGCAAGCGAATCACTTAAATAGCGCGCGTGGGGGAGGGGATGGGTGAAAGGCCTCCCGCGCGAAGCGCGGTAACTTAGACGTTTCATTAAATTATTATGAAAAGAAGACGATTTGTTGTACCGTTCTCGACTCTTAATCCTTGTCTGAATTCAGTTTCCCCATCGCACGCGCAGCGCGGAAGCTTAGACGTTTCATTAAGTTATTATAGAAAGAAGACGATTTGTTGTGTACCGTTCTCTACTCTTAACCCTAATTGTCTGAATTCAGTTTCTCCCCCTCTCGCGCGAAGTGCGGGAGCTTCAACGTTTCATTAAATTATTAGAAAAAGAAGACTATTCATTGTACTGACTCTAAATCATTGTCTGAATTTTCAAAAATGTTTCTTTGTCCGATAAAAAGTCACAGCTCGAAGGGGAAAAACTTGCTGGCCGACCGACATAACAAAAATCCCACCGACTTCAACCCCACACCCCCCCCCCCCTTTAGCGACGCCCCTGAATGTAGAGTGGCCTGAGCGGGTAGGCACAGGGCTTGGTTCTAAACCTACAGAGACACTTCGATGAAGACATCCTTATTTCATGATTGCGTGTGTTGAACTGCCCTGGACTTTACAACTTTAAACCTCCAGGGTTTATTTTGCATATATAGGTATTTATCAAATATCATAGGTAGCAAATAAAGGATGACTAAAAGAGGAATGAAATCAAACAGATAGGAGAGGATGATCGAGCATAATGATGTGCACCAATCTATAATGATAATGATAACCGAGCCCGGCCAAAATATGGGGGGGGGGGGGCTCAATGATATCCGAGCCTCTCACAAAATATCGGGGGGCTCCGTGATGTTATCCGAGCCCCACACAAATATCGGGGGGCTCCGTGATGTTATCCGAGCCCCACAAAAAAACATTGGGTGATATCTGAGCCCCACAAACATATGGGAGGGGGGGGGGCTCAAAGATATCTGAGCCCCACCAAAATATAGGGGGGGGGGCGCTCAATGATATCAGAGTCCCGCCAAAATATTTGGGGGTTTCAATGATAATTATCTGAGATCCACCAAATATATTTTTGGGGGTCAATGGTATGCGAGATCCGATGTCTGAGCCCCCCCCCCCTCCTCCCCAAATAAATATTTATAAAATGTTTATATTTGAATGGTAAGCCAGTAGATTATAGGTATATATGAGTTTCATGCCTAGAATATAATGATTGGGGAGGAGGGGGGGGGGTTTAATGATATCCGAGCCCCGCAATAAGTATCGGGGGCGGCTCAATGATATCTGAGCACCGCTTAAATATTGGGGGCTCAGTGGTATCTTAGCCCCTAAGGACTCAATGATATCTAAGCCCCACCGACAAATTGGGGGGCTTAATGATATCTATAAGCCCCGCAAAATATTTTGCGGGGCTCAATGATATCTGAGCCCCCCAAGCCCCCCCCCCGGTCCCTAAGCCTTTGTACTTGTCAATGAAGTCTACTTTTTGAAACTTAAAGGGATTGGGTAACTTTGTCTCAGGTTCTGAAACAAAATCCTGGAATGATAGTAAGGGCTAGTTCTGACCGGAAAACGACCCAAATATCGGATTATGCATGGCAAGCTGCCCCAGGGCCTTGTCCTATATACGGATCAGGAAAACAATACTTGTCAGGACCTGTGGAACGGCGGGCTTGGGGGCTCAAGCCCCCCCCCCCCCCCACTCTTTTGAAAAAGTATATTAAAGATAATTAAATAGAAAGAAATAGAAAAGAAAGTATGCTCATGTGACCGTAATTAAATGCCCATACCCCTGAGCTTCCGGGGGCTCTGCCCCCTTGATCCCACCTTGTGCCCTAAGGCTGGCCCCTGGATGCTCATCTGACCGTAATTTTAATGCCTAAAACCCCTGCGCTTCCGGGGGCTCCACCCCTTGGACCATACGCCAATTATTGACCTGCTAGTGTCATGAATAAGGTATGAAAATATGCTCATCTGACCGTAATTAAATGCCCCTACACCCTGAGCATCCGCCAATTTGTGCTACGCTCTACCTTATCTTAAATACTCTAGCCTCCCCCACTCACTTTCAACCACATTTTCAATCACTTTTATTTTCCTGGATCACGAGTATATACTAGTAGTGAGTTGGTTGAAGAACGAAGCCACGTACAAAAGTATAATCGATTACAACAGTTTTGGGGCCGATATTCATAGAATAAAGGTTTTAAATAAAATATTCACTTCTACTTTCAAAAGGACTGGCCCATTTGCTTTAAAAAAATTGTAGAGAGTTATTATTATGTAATATCTAGAAAAAATGTCTACCACATGATTTACCGAGTTGCTTCCTTTTATCAAATATACACGTAAAACAAAATGAGGACAGACTGTGCGGATAGCAAACCGCACGGATCGTCCCTCGGACGATCCGTGCGAGTCACGGACGATCGATGCGAGCAGAAAACCCGCATGTTATGTCCGACGGACAAACGAAACTGGTAGGACAAACGGTGCGGTCACACCGGATTTTTTGTGTATTACGGGCCGGACTTTGTTGCGTGAAAAGTAACCCTTTATCGGAGATTTTGGGAACACAAATTCGGTCCCTCCGACCCCGGAGTGGGAGGGAGGTGGGGGGGGGGGGGTTCTCCCTTTTTTTTCTCCCTTTTTCAATCTCTCTCTCTGTTACTTTTCTCTTCTTTCTTTTCTCTTCTCTTTTCTTTTCTCTTCTCCTTTTTTTTTCCTTCTCTTCTCCTTTCTTTTTTCTCTTCTTTTCTTCCTCTTTTTTCCTTCCTTTTTTTTGCGCCGCCAATAGGGAGGGCCGCGGCCGTTTCGGCCCCCCCCCCTGGATCCGCCACTGTGCAATTGTGCCAATTTATTTTTTAATACCCGTCTCTGGAATCTTTATTGCTTTGCCCTTTAATTTTTGCACATCTAATTGAGCGGCTTTGAAGCAGACTACTAATCTGATCTTGTGAGCCTCACGTGTATTATCAACAACGCAATGTGCGCAGAGCTTTGAGAATCACCATGAGTCGAATAATTGTCAAAAACCTTCCACCTCAGGTTCGTATTTTACTTACATTTTATAACTATTATTTTATTCCTCCGATAGCTGAATGAAACAAAGATAAAACGATTGTAACTATGATGACATAGAACGTAAAATTCTTGCAACATGACAGTACAGTCCCACATGTTCAGTTTTGAGTGGGGAAACCAGATTTTCAATTCGCTTGCAATTGCGTAAAGTATTTCTTGAATTTTCTTCTTCAAAGCCAAATCGCAGTCGACTTCTATAGTGTGCGGTGAGCTTTAAGGTACAATTCAAATGGTGACGTAGTCGTGATAGTCATTGTGTAACTCTAAGGTGGGGCGTAGATAGGCAAATTCATGCAAAAAAATATATTCAAAAAATTGACTTGAAAACACATCAGACAATTAGTCTGAACCGAGTCAGGAGCAGATTTGAAGAAATTATATTTTTAAATATTGTAAAACCAAAGATATAAGAAGAAAACTGACCAAGTATCTGTACTAAAAATCGTACATGTAAAATTGGTCGTACACATTCGACAGCTCTAAATGACGCGCACGGTTGCGTTACGTGCGTTCTCGAATCCAAAATCATACCTCACACACACACTCTCACCATACCGCGAATGGTCCGTCGTGGGGAGCTAGCCGGCTGAGAGTTTGCAGCGATACCAACGCAGCTTCGGAGCTCCGCAGCGCGCCATTTTAGCGGGACTCGGAAAGGTTCGCGGTGGGAAGGCAGCGGTCTAGCTTTTTGCCCAAACAACGCTAGATCGGCTGCTGGCAAAATGAAAATAACTACGATCGAGAACATGGTCGGTTTCTTAACTTTTCAGCGAGATAATTCTGAATTCTAATTGAGACTATATAATAAATTAAATCAACAAAGAAACCTCGGTAGAACTCTTATAACTATACAAAAGCTTGTTTATTTCTTCATTTGACATTTTGTTTTTGACCATTTTTTCGTGCGCGAGTCAGTGCAAACTATATATTACCAAACTTTCAACACGCAAGGAACGGGGAACACTCGCGGACCTCGTATCAAATTCGTTGCAAAAAAAAAAATCAAGGGTGATTTTGAAGCAGTGCAGAATATTGGCGCTGCAATGCGCAGAAATATACTTGAAAGAAACTTAAAAAATCATACCTGAATTTTCAGAAAATCGTATTTGTATTAGTGTACCTAGATGTGAATTGTTTATAACTCAGATTTTATGAAGATTTGTCCGGAAAAAATGTCAATTTTTTCCGTTTGGTGGTCATTTCTAGGCTAATATTTTAAAAGTTAATTCAGTAATGGTCCCGATGTTTCTCTTATCATACTCGCATGTTATTCCTACATAGATTAAACATAGGATGGTTAAGGGTAAGACCGGATAACATTATAAAAAAGATATATCCTTCCAACCTCCCATATCCAAGTTTTGGGCTGATTATTGCCGACCCACCGCAGCAAGGCCATTCAAATTTTCGTACGCGACCGAAGCGCCCTCTAGTGCCCCATGAATGTGCCTAGCGTAGATAAGCCTTGGGCTTTGGCGAGGCCGAGCTGAGCTGAGGAGTGAGGGGGCAAAAATATCGGGTCTGCAATTTCATAGGTCTAGGCCTAGAGTCTATTATCCAACTCCCTAAAACAGAAAAAAAAATGTCTGAAAATTTGGATGTCATCTCCCCCACTTAAAAATAAAATGCTGCATTGATTTTGTTTTCCTTCTCAATACTGCACAGATAAAGGAGGAGAAGCTTCGAAACACATTTGCAAGCAGAGGTGATGTGACGGACATACAGCTCAAGTTCACTAAAGGTGGTGTCTTCAGAAAGTTTGCTTTTATTGGATTCAAGACAGAAGTAGAAGCTCAGAATGCGGTGGACTTCTTTAACAAATCTTACGTTGATTCATCAAGAATTCAGGTAAGAAAAAGGTCACAAAACAGCCCTGAAACTCTTCCTGAAAATCACAAAAAGTTGATGAAATTCAGTTTTCTCATGTTGTTAATAATAATAATAATTTTTTAAAAATAAGTCTCTAAGCGCTATAACACATAAAATAGACTGATATACAATTACATATTAAACAAAACTAAGAAGTTCAAATAAACCTACAAATTACAAAAGGTCTACATATGGAATACACATCAAAGTGAACAGAGTTGATTAATCATCAAACACAATTTTGAATAAATAAAAGAACATACATGTTTTTTGCTTGAATTATCTGACAAATTTTTAAGTATTTCTACTTTCCAGCTGTTATTTTCATCCTGTATTTACATCTAATCGATATTTAACATCCACTTTTCACCAAGGATTTGATACAATGGTTGATGTGCATGCAAGCAAATTTATGATGTGTACTTCGATAGGAAAGAAATGATTCCCTTTGCACTTATCTTTTGTTCTAATTATCTAACAAAGGTTGAACTTGCCAAAAACCTTGGTGATGCGAACCTCGATCGCCCCTGGAGCAAGTATTCTGAGAAGAGCTCAGCTTTTCAAAAGAAACAGAAAGCTAAGGAGGAAAAGGAAAGCACAGATGACAAGAAAACCACAGCTACACAGGTAAGGAAGATGTGTGACTTGATTTTATTCATCATCATTTTTGTAATTAGTGACATTATAAGACATTAATTTGTGGTTTATGAGCATTACGAATATAGTTTTAAATAGCTAAAAATATGAAGAGTCAAAGAATGTGGCCATTTTATTGTGAGCATGTGATTTTTTTTTCAGTGGAACATTATTAATTTAGTACTGTATTGGTAGCAAACGGGGTTATTTCATAGAGGAGAGTTGTATATTGATGTGATAAAATGAAATAACCCTGTTTTCAGATTTGTGTAGTAATTTTTTCATCATTTTCCATCATAATCGCTATTGTGAAAGTCTATCAAATATCAATTTTGTGTTGTTTTCTTTGCAGGACACATTGACCAAGAAGAAGAAAAAGAAGAAAGGCTTAGAAGGTCTAGGGGATGTAAGTATGACTGTAGACTTGTTATTATTATTAGATTAGATACTTGGGTCACCTGTACCTGGGAGGTTAGTGCTGTGCACAACAGTGTAATGAGGTACCCGAGTACACTCCCAGGCTCACAGGCGAATACTCGAATATTTGGACACCATGTTTTTTTATAATTTTTTTTGAATTTTTTTGAATTTTTTTTTCTTTTTTTTTCTTTTTTTTTCTTTTTTTTTCTTTTTTTGATTTTTTGATTTTTTTTTTTTTTTTTTTGCCACTACCATACCACTCGGCAGTTTCTCAGGTCCCTCGCTGAAAACACATGCAACTTTACTTTGAGTTGCAGTTGAAGGCGCCGATTTAATAAGAATAATAACAGTAAACAATGCTGTTTTAAAAACCAAAGATGGCAGAATAATCCATTTTCCTCCAAGTCCAAACAGAAATCTGGACATTTGGTCCCAGTTTCTGAAAGGTGAGTTTGACAGTGCTTGAGTAGGGAAAATTTTTTACCGACGGTACCATGCTAGCGGACGCCGCTCTCCCTGGCACGGGTAAGCGTGGGCCTGGACATTTTTTTTTTTTTTTTTTTGCGGCTGAATATTCGGGTACAAGAAATCGTACCCGAGTAGTTGTCAACCGTGCGGGTACTCGAGCATTCGACTACCCGTCGCAGCCTTATGGGAGGTGTAAAGAGAACCGAATCACTGTAACCATCGGGTCTCTCCTCCCGGTATAACTGATTAGGGGTGTGCAGGTGGACCACTACACCAGGGTTTCTCCCCACCCTTATACGAATAGTGCAATGGATTCTCAATGTGCAAAGGTGATGACACGCCTCAACACGGGTCCTCCATTTAATGTCTTATTCGAGGGACGGAGTGTTTACCTTTTTAACATACATGTTAACACACAACGCAGGCTTCGGTCATCCATCTGGTTTGGATTCGAACCCACTATCTTTGGTTTGACTAAGTCAACTCGCCTCCTCGAATAGGAACATTGACTAATGATTTGTGGTGTATGTAACTTTTGCATGCATAAACAATGCTATTATCATTAGTTGGTATTTGAAAAGAAAACCTATGTATTCAACCAGAGGAAATGTTGCAATTTGAAAGACTTGTCCGAGCTTTGTGATATAGAATGATAATCTACAGGATTTCAAAGTTGTTGTTTTTTACTACACAAATTTGTATTAAGCACTATATAAAAATTAAATATTATTATTATTATTAATTCTTTAGCTTAATATTTGCCATGTTTATGTATTATTGGATCCCCAACATCCCATGTTTAGTATTTGTTGAATTTCATATACCGGTATACTAATTATCCTTGAAAGCTGTTTAAATTATACTTTTAGAGACCAATTAAAAGAAAGTGTATGTTTATTTTTTCTTCCCAATTTCTTACTTCAGTTGGAAGATGATCCCAAGTTCCAGGAGTTTCTAGAAGCTCACAATGTAAAGACAGCAAAAGGAATATGGGATAATGATGCAGGCATATCCAAGAAAGATCAGAGCAAAGGTGACGGAGATAGGATGGATCGGATCCCAATGAAGGCAAAGAAATATTCAGGTAATTGCTCATATCACAGTCTAAATTAATCTTGTGCTTTATGGTAAACTGGTGTTTTAATTCTACTAATCAGGGGGTTGTTTTATGAAACGGTCATACGTACAAGATCAACAACATCTCAATGCTGCAGCTATTTTGATATATGTTGAAACTGTGAGTCATAAATATCATGTTTTCATGATTTTCTTCAGTAGAAATTAAAATCATGGTTGTCTTTTGGTTGGATACAAGTTTCCTCAATTTGATAAATTCTTAGATGTCATTAGTAACAAATATTTTCATGCAAATTGGATGTTTGTATCATTTGTGCTACCTCTCTTTCAGATTTTTTTACTTTTTCAAACAGTTTGAGGGAAATAAAGCCTCATAATCTCTTTGGGTAATTCAGGACAAAATCGGATGGATCGTGACAGAGACTTTTTAGCCGATAGTATAAAAATCATGAATTTTTGGCTTACCATGGTTTTGTGAAAAGGGTTGTCTGCTTCTTAATATCTCTGTAGACCTCGGTCAAAGATATGACTCTCATGGAGTTGGTTCTGTAAAACTCCCTCCTGGGAAATAGAACAGATGTATGATTTGAACATATGCATGTTTGTAATATATCTGAAGGAATTTAAAAGTTGGAAGGATGTTATGAAACAAATGAGATGGCAACATGAAATGCACTTTATAAGTTTAACGTTATTATTGATATCATAAAAAAGGAAAGCGAGTTGATTTCTATACCACTTGTGCCAATTGGAAAATACTTGCTGATGAATTCTTCAAAAAAGTAAGCTTATTATGTATGGACTATGAGATTCTTTGGGTTAAAAAAAAAAAACAGTTGCTTCTTATCACATTTAACTTCCTGCCAGCAGATGGGAAGAACACTATGGATGAAGAGGAAAGTGATGTTGATGAGGATGATGACGAAGAGGAAGAAGAGATGGAGGAGGAGGTCCAGGAAGATCAGACGAAAAAAGAAGCAAACAAAAAAGAGCTTTCAGACATGGATGTAAGGATAATGTTTATTGAAGATTAAGCCCTTGCAGGAACAACTCCATTCTTAGAAGATAATTATAGACCTTACATAGACATTTTACATGACTTAATCATGTGTGCCGTTATCTACAAAGTTCACTACTTCTCTATTTGATGATACAAAATTAATATTACATTTGAACACTGTATTCTTTTTTGACAGCAATGATTGAGTTTAAACATATTTATGGTTGAGGGTCACAGTCAACTAGCCTAATAATAACAATAATAATAATATGTCTTGTTTACCCGGGGTAGCCTCATCAGTATTCATACTGTTCTCCCTGAGGGCCCTGCAATCATATTACTATAGCTGTTAATCTAAAGCCCTTCAGAATTGCAAGGAGAAATTACTACATATGTGCTTTACAAAATAAATGTATTTATATAACATTGAATGGCCTTGAGTGGGATACAGGGGTATATGCCACAAACTGATGAGCATATTTCATGAGTCGGCACGAAGAGTCAAAATATACTCAAAATTAAGTGCGATATGCCCTTGTGTCCCAGGAAAGAAATGCTACATGTATTCAATATTATCATTAATTGTCTGAAACCTAGTATCTCATTTTTCACCATTGCATCGTAATGTTTTTGTATTAACTTGCATATTAAACACAAAGAGAAAAAATACCTATTTTGTCCTTACCAAAGTACATTACCTATGGGCTGCCAAATACATCCATTGTCGTAATAGCCTGAGCATATTTCAATTTGCTTATTCTTCTTTTTATGCGTTCGCACACCTCAAACCAAGAGATATTGAAATTTACTGCACAGTAATCTACTTACTTTTGCTCAAAGCACTAGATCTGGTTGGCTCAAAACCCTTTATACAATACTAACTTATTGCAGAGTACATGATACATGACTTACCGATGTAATATTTTCATCTGAATACAGTACTTGAAATCCAAGAGAGTGAAAGTACAGACAGAGGATGAAGGGATTCAGGATGGGAGCAGTGAAGATGAATCCTCTTCATCTGATGAGGATAGTGAGGAGGAAGAAGAGGAGGAGGAAGAAGAGGGGGAGGAGAACAAGAAAGCTGTACAGACAGAGGTTAAGGAAGTTCCCAACGTTAAGGCATCACCTACTACTGAAAGAGTCCGGAAAAATAAGGTATGTTGCTTCAACATAGATTGCATTAATTTTTTCTATGATTATTTCCTTTGTGGATTAAATGTTTTCTGGAACCATCTTGCTGTAATTGTATTTTAGTCATTTGAGTTCCTCCTGATCTCTGTAAAAAGACTTTATAAATTATGATGGTTATTTACTGTTTGCACTGGGTAGCATAGGCATGTTGTACTATGATGGTCTAGCAGAAAATTCTATATACCTGCCGTTTTGTTGGTATTATCTTGTAATGATTATGATAGATAATGAATCATTGATTCACTGGTTTTGTTTTTACAGGTGAAATTGATGAGAAGTGTCAGAAAAGATGAAAAATACGAGAGAGGAGATTTCACCATTAAAATGAGAGGGGTGCCTTTCAACGTCAAAGAGGTAGGTTTATGCGAGGAGATGTTGGTTAACTTAATAATGAAAATATTTTATACTGATTGATGTACATATAGGTCTCATTCAATAATATACAAATCATGCATGTAAAGAAGTTCACTATGCAATCTATCCACACTCGAGTCGAGGCTGTATGCATTTATCGTATGGAAATAGGTGCATAAACAGACTCAAGGAGAGCAGATGGATCCTGTAATGAACAAATGAAAACATGCATTTACAAAACAACAACAAATTCCTAGATCCTTGTTGTTTGATTAAAAACACAAAAATTCAAAGACTTTTTTGTGTGTCATTGCTGACAAATAAGTCCCTAGTTTAATAGGCCTACTTTAGAATGTCAATTTGTTACCTCATGTTACTATTCACATAATGGGAAGTTAAAATGGCTAGATATTTTCTTTGCAAACTTTTCCCAATGGCTTTTGATAGTTTTGTGATGTCATTTTGGTTTTTTTTCACCTCTATTTTATGTTATTTTTTATTTCAGGAAGATGTGGTGAAGTTCTTTGCTCCACTAAGTATGAAAACCATTAGAGCACCTCTGAATGAGAAAGGGCAGAGAACAGGTAACTAATTCAATGATACAACATGAATTAATTCTCGCTACCCTAAATAGGTACGAAAATCTCGAAATTCGCGAGACGAGGTAATTTTCACTCTCTCGGGTCGTCACTACAACTTCAGGTATAGAGTCCCATCCCGCTGGCGCTAGCGCCTGTGTTCGCTGTGCAGAGTTTTCACGCACGCTAAAATCAGGGTTCTTACGCTTGGAATCATGAGCCCAGCACTGTGCAGCCTCACAAAAGAAAACCATCGTCACTGATGTCAAAAGACGCAAAAAACAACGAATGAAATGTTCAAATAAACGTTGAAATATTTGCAAAAAAAAAACAAGACCGAGCAGACGACATATTCGGTGCATACACGTTGTGTGGCGACGGCGTTTTACGTTTGCGCTATCGCACAGGAAGCTGTAATGTCGAAAAGCTATCCCATAATGCAATGCGCGTTTTCAGGATTTTCCCCGGATCTCGGCAGAATCGCTATTTGGGGTAGCGAGAATTGTTTGCAAATGAAGTTCCATGAAATTACAGTCCAGTTTAGTTTGTTAACAGCTATGTATAAAGTGAAGAGATGAAAAATAATTACAACCAAATCTCAGGAACAGAAACAGGTATTCAGGATATAATTGTATACAATCGCTTTACTATAAACCGTGGAGAGGCACTCTTAACACACAACAATGGCATCCATAACATGTAGTTTTTAAGTTTCTACCAACCTTAAATTTGTTATGCAAGCTTTCATCCACTCCTGTGGCAAACGTGTGACTCAGACTGATCACTTAGCTTTAGAAAGTCTACAGGAGTGGATGAAAGCTTGCATAACAAATTTAATGTTGGTAGGAGCTTAAAAACTACATGTTATTATTATCCCCAACTGATAAAAGTTTTCTGTATCAATGGCATCCATTTTTGTCTTTCGGCATATCCGGGACTGAAATCAATCATGTGATCAATCATGTGATCTCCCCCAAGGCAGATACTTTGGACACTGAGCCATTCATGATGTCTATAGCAGTTGTAGGATTTTTTGGCTACACTAAACTATACCAGTTATTCTCTACTGAACATAGAACCTGTTTTTGTTTAACCATTTTGTTTAATGTCCTTGATTTGTAGGTGTCATATTTGTAGAGTTTGCCAGTGAGGATGATATCACCAAAGCCATGAAGAGAAACAGAGAATACATGGGTAGGTAATACTGATTGATTCAATAAAAAGACCTGATCATGCATTCAATCAAAACATTTATGAAGCTATACAGTAGACTTCAGGTTGCACCATGTGAGGGGGAGGATTAGGGAGTCCGGAAAAGGACTGTCGGTAATCTTTTTTTCTTGAGTGTGTGTGTAGTCCTGAAATGGACTGGTGGTAATATTTCTTGAGGTTATAGTTCTAAAGAGAACTGTAGCGCCGGTTTGGAGAGGATGGTTAGTAGGAGGGGCTCGACTCTGTCGTCGGGAGCGATGAAGTAATTTATGAAGCGGTTGATTCACTGATCAGAAGCTGTAGAAAAGTCACTATGTAGGAGATTTTGGCTGTAAAATTTTGCGCTACATTGGACTTTTAATGGGCTTGTTAGAACATAAAGCTACAATGACCAAAATAAATAAATTATGAATTGTATCTGTTTGAAATTTAGGGTTGAGATTAGTTTTAGAAACTTGTACTGGCTGTATACAGAGAGGGAACCTTACAGGCCAATAATGGAATACATAGGGAGCTTGCTCATGGATATTCAATGAAGAATTATGCAGATGATCTGGGACCTAATGGTCTGCACCATAGATTCCCGTAAACTACTAACTCTAACTCATTTTATATTTCCTTCTGCTCTTATGCCATTCAGGAAGGAGATATGTAGAGTTATTTCGAGAAGAAGCTTGGAATAAGGATGCATACACTAAACATCAGGAAGAGCCTCCATGGGCTAAACAGGTTGGTATATTTCTACATATCTGTTTTAGTATCAATTAGTGTTTGTGGTGAATTGTTGAATGATTTCATGACATTGCCCCTTCTTATTTAAGTGAACTATTATCATTGTATCGGCCTACTCGTACTTTAAGATCACGCTCAAAATCATTATTCATTGTCCCTCCCACCTCAACAAAAACATATGGTGAACGTTCTTTTACCCACGCCTCCTCAGTTTTATGGAATGCCCTTCCAGATTCCATGAGAAATCACAATAATTTAAACAAGTTTAAGATTTCTCTTGAAAGGTATTTATTCAATGTTAAAAGTGAACACCCATGGACTCAGCGTTCAACACTACATGTACTTTTTTGCTTCTAAGTTGATTTTCTAATTTGTATGACTTTTTCTTGTAATTCTTTCCTTTCTTTTTAAAGCGCATAGGGACATGCTATCCTGTAATGTGTTATGCGCTATAAAAGAACTGAATATTGTTCTTTGTGTGTGCTGTGGGATTAAATCTGTGCAGATTGAGTGTGATACATCTCATGCAAGGGGTATAGCTAGTATCTATCTCCACATATGGGCATAGGTAATGAAGATATCAGTTCAGTAATATATTCACAAATTGGTTTCTCCTTTGATTACAGAAAAAAGAAAGATCTGTATTTTTGACATAGTTTCCATGTCCCACTGTTACCGGTATATTAATACATAATATTTGTTCTCAATCTTTTCAAACAGGCTGCCGAACTGGAAAATTCAGAAGACACTATTGCTGAGGTGTGTATATGGTTCTTCTATGTTCAAGTATATGAGTCAAAACTTGAAATGATAATGGTCAATTTAATTTAATGCCTATTTCAGTACTAATCCTACAATATTCAGTCAATAATTTTGTCTTAAATGTGTGAATGGTTGAAGACAACCTTGTAGAAAGTACACATGAATTTGTAATTCCCCTATTAATCTCCTGTTCTTTTTTCTTTTTATTTTGTCTAACTTTCTCTATTTATTATTTCTTCTGATTATTCTTGATTATTAATACAAGTTTGACAAGGTTTCTTTAGATGGTTGAGTGAGATAAAGCCTCATTGTACTGATGCATGAAAAGAAGAGATTGCAGCTCAAGTCAATTAATTCATTCGTCATTTAATCATTTCTTCCCCAGACTGGACGGCTTTTTGTGAGGAATCTTGCTTACATCTGCAAGGAGGAGGACCTAGAATTCTTGTTTAGTAAATACGGTAAGAAGATGAATTAGTCGATCAAGATTTGCTACTTCCAGTATACCAACAAAGAATGAAAACAATGAGAGGAAACTATAGAACCAAACTCAAATCTTTAAGGCCATGTCAATCCAGCTTTGAAATTTGAAATAGATTAATTCGTTGTGATTGTGCCATGGACCAGACATGGGCTTTTGGTGGAGTTTCTTCCTAGAAAGTGGAGATGACAATTCCTCACCAAGCTTTTTGGATGTTCATAGTGAGTTGGGGAGACCAAACATAAATTAAAACTCCTATTTCAAATCATAAAAGTTGAATGAAGATATCCTCAAGTATTGAATGTTAAGTTTATTTTTCCTAGCGAAGTGAAACATACAACATTTTTAGTATCATGCTATTTGTCATCCCTAAACTTTAAACCAATATGAGCCTTCCTATGCATTTGCAATAAGAATTTTCTAGAAGTTACTGTTCTTTAGTATTGGTTACAATCATTGTCCTTGCAAGCTCTACAAATCACTGTGTGTGTGCTTTTTCTTATCCTTTGGCAAGAGCTTTATATCATCCTATTTATTTGATATGTTTCCCCTGCAGGTCCTCTTACAGAAGTGAATCTTCCCATAGACACCTTCACAAAGAAGATAAAAGGTTTTGCTTTCGTCACTTTCATGATGCCTGAGCATGCCGTCAGGGCATACACAGAACTAGATGGGACCAGCTTTCAGGTAGGTCTCTAACCTTAGGACCTTTAGAAGGGTTGTATAGGAGTCATATTATTGATATGATTGGCTGACAGACAGCCTAGGAGAAGGTAATCAGGGAGAACCGTAAAGGGAGCTCAGTGAATAGATTTAAATCAGCTTGATCAAGCATTACATTCCCTCTAGACAGCTACGTTCTCAAAACTACAGTTCCGCCTGCGATCAACGTCACACTGATCGCACGCAATTGATCGCGCTCAAAATGCGCGACTATGAGCGCGATCGCGCGCTCTTGTTATGCGTTATCACTGAATGCGCATACTGTCCTCTACGGCAGAAAAGAGGCGCGATATTCTGTACGGCAGTATTACAAAAGCGCTCGATTCAGTTCAAAACGGCAGTAAAAAGCGGGGGTGTTTTAAAAATATCTCTCCCGTTTCAATTTTGTTTTCCTCATTAATACGTTGATTGTTTTCCCTTTTTGAAGATTATCTAGATCATGCATGCCTGCTTTTTTAAATTTTCTACTTCTAAAAACAATAATTATCAGCAAGGTTTTGTTGCCCCTACGGAGATCTAAAAACGATAATTATCGGCAATACTTTGTTGCCCCTACGGTGATCTAAAAACAATAATTATCGGCAAGGTTTTGTTGCCCCTACGGAGATCTAAAAACAATAATTATCGGCAAGGCTTTGTTGCCCCTACGGATATCTAAAAACAATAATTATCAGCAAGGTTTTGTTGCCCCTACGGATATCTAAAAACAATAATTATCGGCAAGGTTTTGTTGCCCCTACGAAGATCTAAAAACAATAATTATCGGCAAGACTTTGTGGCCCCTACGGAGATCTGAAAACTATAATTATCGGCAAGGTTTTGTTGACCCTCCGGAGATCTAAAAACAATAATTATCAGTAAGACTTTGTTGCCCCTACGGAGATCTAAATACAATAATTATCAGCAAGGTTTTGTTGCCCCTACGGAGATCTAAAAACAATAATTATCGGCAAGGTTTTGTTGCTCCTACGGAGATCTAAAAACAATAATAATCGGCAAGACTTAGGTGCCCCTACGGAGATCTAAAAACAATAATTATCGGCAAGACTTTGTTGCTCCTACGGAGGTCTAAAAACAATAATTATAGGTAAGGTTTTGTTACCCCTCCGGAGATCTAAAAACAAAAATTATCGGCAAGGTTTAGTTGACCCTCCGGAGATCTAAAAACAATAATTATCTGCAACGTTTTGTTGCCCCTATGGAGGTCTAAAAACAATAATTATCGGCAAGGTTTTGTTGCCCCTACGGAGATCTAAAAACAATAATTATCGACAAGACTTTGTTGCCCCTACGGAGACAATTAGTTGTCGCTGATATTACCGGCTTTGTGACAAAAATTAAGCCGACGGAAAGAAAGAAATGAATAAAGAAAATTAATTCAAATATCACTTGCGCTAGAGAAACAAAAAGTGAGAGAGATAGAAGCGAAAACGATTAAATATCGCTGATTTTACCGGCTTTCATGATAAAACTTAAGCCGTCGGAAATAAATAAAGAAAATGAATTGCAATATCACTGGCACTAGAGAAATAAAAAGTGAGAGAAAGAGATTGGTGAAAACAATGAAGTGTCGCTGATATTACCGGCTTTCATGACAAAAATTAAGCCGACGGAAAGAAAGAAACGAATAAAGAAAATATCACTTGCGCTAGAGAAATAAAAAGTGAGATTTTTTTCTTCTTCTCCACCTCACTTTGTCACTATGATTCTATTTTGTACCTAAATTTTTGTAAATAATTATGGGTTCACTTATTAAAACTTGCATATTTGTTTGTAAAGTGTATTTTCATTGTTTTATATTCTGTTCTAACAAAACAATGGATTCTGAGTGGGGCATTCTGGCGACATTCCGAATGCCAATTGTATAAATCCGTGACGTAATTAACTATGAGGCCTAAAAAATAAAAATATATTGTGCCTTAGGTGCTAAAACATGGGTCGGTCGGAAAATAATCATCTTTTTTTTTTTCTTTTTTCTTTTTTTCTCGCCCTTTTTGGGCTGATATTTTTCAGTTTTTAATGTGTTTTTTTCTTCTTTTTTTTCTCGCCCTCTTTGGCCTGCTATTTCTCAGTTTTTAATGCTTTAATACATGTGTTTCAGCGACATCATTCAATTCATATCTTTTCACCTTATACTAATCCATGGTTTACAATGTTGTGTTGAGACAACACTCTCTGCTTCCCAGCTGATGAGGTTTTTCAACTGCCTGTAAAACTTGCTAGCAATGTGAAGATTGTTGACAAATTGTACAGGTAGTCCCGGGCACAAAGTGGTCTCTTTACTAACCAAAGAAGGGACCGAAACTGACACAGGAAAAGACGGCCAGACACTTTTGCATGCAAGAGGTTCAAATCATAGCCTATCACAAAATTTGTATCTAAACTGGCCCGCTTCATAAAATATGCTCTTCATTCCTGTTTCAGTCCTGGGGATTGTTCCAAGTGAATGTTTGTATCCGTTTGTTGAGTCTGAAATGAGTCAAATCTGACCCCAAAAAACGAACAATAATCAAATACATGAATGTTTGAACTCACTGTATCTCCATGTTTTAATCTGAGTTGTACAATTTACAAAGTTACAAACCAACTTACACTTTGTCTTGCTGGAAAACTTTAATAAAGAAACAATATTTGAATAAATAAACACAAATACATGTGTGTTTTCTCGCTCACATGAGTTTCATTGAACAGAGCGCATACGATCCCATTTGATTGCAACTGATCGCAGACAATTACTGCGTGTTCTGGTAACGTAGAGGCTTGTGGATAGTTCTCAATGTTGTAGGGAAAGTTTGAAGGAAAGAAAAAGACAAAACTCTAACGTTTGAGATTCGAGGAAACATAATATGGGGATGTATGAGTAGTTTCTGTCATGGGCGGAGATTCCTTTTCGAAAGGTTTACAAACGTGTATAGTCTCATAGCAACAGCATTCATTTGCGATCAGATGCAATCACGTGAAAAAAAAAAGGTCTTTAGCGGTAAAAGGCACGACAATTATAATTTTGATGTACAAAGCCCGGTCGACAAAGCCAATTCAAATTTTACATGCAGGTAGATGAAACACAAATTATGTTCTTTGTAAAAATTATATTGCCATGGTGTCCTTTGGAAATCAATCAACGGATCATTCTCATGGCTCCTCTTTGAAAAGACATAACGGAAGAATGTGAACTCATCATACCAGGTGTTTCGGGTTAAGTTAAACATTTTATGCATCCTCAAAAGATTCCCTTTTTCTTTCAAACACAATTCTTGTCGTTAAGGAATATCCCTATTTCTGTGAGAGCATTCGCACTCAAGCAGACTATGAATCTTAATTTTGTTATGTCTCTCCAATGTATATAATAGTTTAAATTAAACGACTATCAATCGATCTTTCCGTACTGTAGCTTTATGCTTGAATTTCATTTTAATTATCTACCCCGACCGGCGCCTATATATTAAGTGGACACTGTTCAGCTATCGCATCCAAAACAGTTTAATCCGGCCCAGCAAAGATTAAACAATTATAAACGTGGATGGGAAAGAGATGCGGAAAGCTTGAAAATTTTCTATACAAGGAACAGAGCGCATACGATCCCATTTGATTGCAACTGATCGCAGACAATAACTGTGTGTTCTGGTTACGTAGAGGCTTGTGGATAGTTCTCAATAGTTTGAAGAAAAGAAAAAAAACAGAACCCTAACGTTTGAGATTCGAGGAAACATAATATGGGGATGTATGAGTAGATTCTGTCATGGGCAGAGATTCCTTTTCGAAAGGTTTACACACGTGTATAGTCTCATTGCAATAGCATTCATTTGCGATCAAATGCAATCACGTGAAGAAAAAAGGGTCTAGCGGTAAAAGGCACAACAATTATAATTTTGGTGTAGAAAGCCCGGTCGACAAAGCCTATTCAAATTTTACAAGCAGGTAGATAAAATACAAATTATGTTGTTTGTAAACTTTATTGTGCTATGGGGTACTTTGAAAATCAATCAACGGATCATTCTCATGGCTCCTCTTTGAAAAGACATAACGGAAGAATGTACTCTCACCTTACCAGGTGTTTCGGGGTCGAGTTAAACATTTTATGCATCCTCAAAAGATTCCCTTTTTCTTTCAAACACAATTCTTGACGTTAAGAAATATCCCTATTTCTGTGAGAGCATTCGCACTCAAGCAGACTATGAATCTTAATTTTGTTATGTCTCTCCAATGTATATAATAGTTTAAATAAAACGACTATCAATCGATCTTTCCGTACTGTAGCTTTATGCTTGAATTTCATTTTAATTATCCATCCGACTGGCGCCTTTATATTAAGAGCACACTGTTCAGCTATCCCATCCAAAACAGTTTAATCCGGCCCAGCAAAGATGAAAAATTATAAATGTGGCTGGGGAGAGAGATGCGGAAAGCTTGAAAATCTTCTATACAAGGAACAGAGCGCATACGATCCCATTTGATTGCAACTGATCGCAGCTGATCGCAGACAATAACTGTGTGTTCTGGTTACGTAGAGGCTTGTGGATAGTTCTCAATAGTTTGAAGAAAAGAAAAAAAAACAGAACCCTAACGTTTGAGATTCGAGGAAACATAATATGGGGATGTATGAGTAGATTCTGTCATGGGCAGAGATTCCTTTTCGAAAGGTTTACACACGTGTATAGTCTCATTGCAATAGCATTCATTTGCGATCAAATGCAATCACGTGAAGAAAAAAGGGTCTAGCGGTAAAAGGCACAACAATTATAATTTTGGTGTAGAAAGCCCGGTCGACAAAGCCTATTCAAATTTTACAAGCAGGTAGATGAAACACAAATTATGTTCTTTGTAAACTTTATAGTGTTATGGGGTACTTTGAAAATCAATCGACGGATCATTCTCATGGCTCCTCTTTGAAAAGACATAACGGAAGAATGTACTCTCACCTTACCAGGTGTTTCGGGGTCGAGTTAAACATTTTATGCATCCTC